TGCAAATCAACACGGCAAATAGAATCCACGGGAATCTACTTTAACGTAGAGAAGCCTAGAAAAGTTGCACCTGTTTTTGAGTTTTGTGCAATTATTTTTTGTCTTGCTAATGGTGGACATCAATCTTTTGTTCTCTCCAGATAACAAGTTGTTTAAGGCTAGCATCTTGAGAAAACCATTTTTACATGATTACAAGGTAAAACTTCTTGAATTAAACTAGTTTTGTTATCAAGACACTTTTATGTAGAGGTTGGGAGATTCTACATTTTGTTACACCCCATCTAGAAGCACAATASGGCATGATGACACATTTCTTTGAGATCATCTCTATGCACCCCAGTACCTATGTTACTCTATACCTATGTTGTCCAAAATCACAAAAGATGGTTGGCTCCTCCTTAACCAAGCATCTATGCACCTATATTACCCGATGCAAAGCATTCACTGTAATTCAGTATTTGTTTCATTTGTATTAAAAGAGCCAAGTATCTTTCATGACTGATTAAAAACTCGGGGAGAACATAAGTACTGAGGAACATAGGTTCCTTGAAAACATGAGTACCAGGAAACATAAGTACCAGGGAATATAGGCACTGGGGAACATTTGTATTAGGGAAAATAGGTACAGGGAAACATAGGTACTGTTGAACATAGGTACTGAGAAACATAAGTACCAGGGAACATAAGTTTTGGGGAAAAAGGTTATCGGGAAATGTAAGTACTGCTGAACATAGGTATTGGGTAACACAATTACCGGGGAACATAACTAATGGTAAAGTATCCCAACTCCTTCTTATCTTGTCATTAACCAGTTAACTCCAGAAAATAATCTTTGTCGTCTTGAAATAACAAGGTAACAGTTAACACAACAAAACAATGTGATGAAATAAAAAATTTTGATCAGCTTTTCTAATCTTCTGCACCAATGAACACAACGGCCAAAATTTGTTTGGATACCTATGATAATCTAAAAATCTTGCAGTCAAAATTACTTGCTTTGCCTGAACACACTTTTGGCAAAATGTTTGACTTTAAACAATTTTTAACTCGGACCTAGATCACAATTGCACTAAATCCGCTCTACACAGTAAAAAACGTGTTTATGGGTCACTTGGATACAGAATCAACACAAGCCCTATTATATTTTAGACTGAGGTCATTCCTGATCCCAGCAAATTTCATTGCATTTGTGCTGTGACAATCCAAGTACGATACATTCATTTCATTGTCATATACTAGACTGTACATGTTAGATTTGAACCTTTCTGTGCTTATACTCAATGTCAATATACGGATATGTTTCACTCGTCAACAGCTGAACGGCTTTGAGTTTTAAATGTAAACAGCCAAGATTTAACTGGTTCCTCTGCAACCTTTGGTGGAACGACACATGGTTTGTTAAAAGAGCTGGATAGGGGAGCGATGCTTAACCACAAAACTCCTAAACGCTGTCATATGTCTGAAGCCGAGCAGTCCAGAAAATAATCTGCCGACGCAGCTTAATCCAGAAGTCTTCTTATCTCAGCATACACATGTACAAGGGTAAAACGCAATTGCYTCACTTTCTGTTTTCATTCCTACACATCAATCGTGTCATAACAATGGGACTGGGGGCRGGGGGTGGGGGTTTACATTCTAATGGAGAAATGAAGACCATGGCTCGTTATCCTCTCCCTGAAAAATGGATCTGATACATTCAATGCTAGTGTGTGCTTAAAATTCCTCCACAGTCTGGTGTTTGAGGYCTAGCAAGCTCCGGACTTGRAAATGGAGGCTGTTGGAATGCAGAGCTGAAATCACTGTRTGTACAGTACATGGAGAAGAAAAAGCCCACACTCTTCAATTTTTAAAAAAAAAGTATTCAACTCTAACCTTGAGCATACAAGAACAAACCAAACTGGTTCTGATGTGATTTGAGMACCTAGTTCATCTTGCTGCTTATAAGAGAGATTAATGGTTATTTCCAAACAATCTGAAGCCCATCATTAGGAAATACGTACGTAGGAAATATTTTTCCTAAGTTGAACAGCTTCCAGTGTACTAACAAACAAGCATTTTTTACACAGATTTTCCATCATACTTGAATTTTTTGTTAAATAAATGACACACTGCTAATCAAATGGCTGGGATGCTAGATCTGAGGCCTCAGTCCTCAACAAACAGATGGAGTGCCTCCTCTGGGTTAGGGGAGAGTGTTTGCCTCAGGTGAAGGAGTTTAAATATCTGSGTGYCTCRTTGCTAAGTGTTGGTRGGATGGACCGGGAGATGGGTCAACAAACTAGGACCTTGTCAGTCATGGTGAAGAAAGAACTGAGTCGAAAGGCAAAGCTCTTYATTTACTGGTCCATCTACGTTCCAACTGTCACCTGTGGTTAGGGTTATGACTGAAAGATCRAGCTCTTTGATACAAGGGGCTTCCTTTGTATGGTAGCTGAGCTCTGCTTTAAGCCTTTGCATAGTCCATGTAAACCTGCAAAGTCTGCTCTCATTGACATGGCTGCATGCATTATTTTGTTCTCAGCTTCATGTCACCCATACCCTTATGGCACAGGCTAAACATTTTGCTYCCTCTTGGCATACAAAAGTACTTTGTGATTGGTCAGAGGTTTGTGGGCGTGTTTGTGCTGAGAAGTGCTCGGACAGAAATGGTGGCATTTTGCTTCAATTACTTTGCTTCCACAAGCCGACTGTTGAATAGAAATTTACAATGAGAGTGAAATGGCCAAAAACACGTGAACTGAAAAATCACATATGTTGTGCATGGCTGAAAAGTGTCGCTTTATCCATGAAAGACTTGTGGCTAAAGCAATTAAGGATATCAGAGCTTAAACTCCAGATGGAAGAAACCTGTGCTGTGATGTGTAAAGCAGCAGGAAAGGTTTCCCAGGAGATCTGCACCATATGGCTTGTTGAATCATGGAAGGTGTATGGATGCATAAACTGTATGTATTTTATTTGTGTAGAAATGCCCAACCAGGGACTGGAGTTGCAAATTAGCTACAGCTATGTACTCTTTGTGCAACACATCAGCTACAGACTTGATCTGTTCTATGGTTTTGTATTCATTGTCCCTGTTAATTTAAAAAAAGGATAAGAACAAAGAATCAAGTGACGGTGCCTCAACTGAGCGGCTGCCGATCAACCACCACGGACCCTTTAGATATAGGGTGAGGCACTCCATCATCTGAGGGGAGCTCAAAAGTAGTGAGCTGAGGTGGTTCAAACCTCTGCTTCCTACTCGATGTCAATTTATGGAGGTTTTCTGGGCATGTCCTACTGGAAAGAGACCCTGGGGTAGACCAGAACTCATTGGAGGGATTGTGGATCCTCTTTGACCTAGTAATGCCTTAGGATCCTTCAGTAGAAGCTGGAGTGTGTCTCTGGGGAGAGGGTCTGTGTTTCTCTAGTGGACCTGTTGCTTCTGTGACCCGATTATAGATTGAAGGTAGATGTGCAGCTAAAGACATGGTGGAATCTGTTGGGTGTTTTTGTTTACTTGAGGTTAGATTTCAATTACTGTATTTTAGGAACTTGGTAAAGACCAAATCCCATTTGGTACGTTTTGATATGTAAACCCTAAACTTGAGAGAGAATGGACTTTCTTTTTCCCATGACTATGAAGTGAGTAGAGTGGTCCTTCAGCATGGTCAACTGATAGAGAAGGAATGTATCATCCATGTATATCCAGAGTGTTCACAAACAAATTAAATGCTTAAAACTGTCCCGTCTAATGAATTCTCAACTTTTACCACTAAATAATCTGACAATTCAAGTCAGAGTGGCAATCACATATTATCATTTTCAGGTTGTACGTATAGTATATATTTATATATATAGTCTTTTTTAACGGTGAGGTGCAAAGGGTGCTGCGTTTAAAAAGCACAATCAGGTGTCACTACTGAGCCTGTTCTCATGCCCTCATGCCCCCCGGGTCAACATATCTACACTTGACCAAGCGTCAATATGTTGATGTGGGGGGTAGCCCCCGAGCGTCCGTTCTTTACGAGATGATGAGGAGGAGAACGTGTCCCTGAACACAGACCCTAAAGTTAACCATTCCCTCAAATTAACCATTTTTTATCCCTGAATACAAACCCTAAAAGCAACCATTAACCCTGATCTCTCATAGTAACCATTTTCGTCGCAGACCCTGAATTTAACCAACAGAAGCTATGTACAGCCCATCCCTGGCCCCAGTCTATCAAATTAACCATTAATCCTGATCCCTCATGTTAACCTCAGACCAGGAAAAGCCGCGGGCGGCAAGGACGGACGTGTGGAGGGTGCGCCGTGCCCAAGCATCAATATGTAACGAGTCAGACATGAGAACATGTTACACTACCAGGAGCTGGTGTAAAATAGAAAAAAACAGTTGTGAAGGTCACAGTAATACTTCAGATTNTATATATATACACACCTATGTACTTATGTACAAAAATAATAAAACCACCATATTATCACCACAAAATAGTTTGTCTTGAGAGAACAAAAGAATACAAGAGTATAAGGAAATCAAAAAGATAATTGAAAACAAGTACAAAAATATCACACTATTTTATGGGTTCTGTAGTAACTGTTGTTGCCCGAAGGCCTGTTGGCAGTTGTTTTTCAATTTAAAAAAGACAGGTTTTTCACAAGAAAGTTGAGTAAATTGGAGTGCAATTCTGTCATGCAATTGTGTATGCAATATTTCAAAGAAAAATGTGAAAAAAGTCGGCAGTTTTATTCATGACTTGTGCTTTTTTTTAATTCCCAACACTTTTGTTTCTGAAAAGAAAAAAAAAATGCCAAAAAATTCAAAAACCTGAGTCAAAAATGATCCTGCGGGATGGGAAAGATCCTCCGTTTTAAATTCATGTTTGGGTAAAAAGTTTACTGAACTGATCCATCGTAGAGTGCAGGAAGTAGGATGGATATTTTCACTTTGAACGCATACGTAGGGTTTTTTGTAAGAATTGTACCACAACCCAAGGCAAGACAACATCCGATCATCACATGCATTAATAGTGCATAGCATWACACAGTTTAATGAATTCTTAAATATTGCCTGCACCCGATAAACTGAGTTATAGAAAGTCTTCTAATTGTTTCTTTTGAATAAAAAAAACTCATTTTGCTCTAGCTGTTTTTTTGTAAYATTTTCTTCTTTTCGAAAATACTGCTGGCTTTGAACTTTACTATTTACACATAACCGAGAGAGAAAAGTTGGGAAATGACCGTCACAACTCCAAATTACAATACGTAGTTTTTAAAAATAAAAATACCTCATCACTAAGGATTCAAGGACCGTGAATATAAAAAAACATTTTATATGAGAACTTACAAAACTCAGAAAGTCTCTTCTAAGTCTGTTTTTGTTTTGTTCCTCTTGCAGCGTTGCAGTCTTTGACCGAGTCTGCCATGTAGAAAAACAACGAAAGGGCAAACAAATCAAGTCAAACAACGATAAACAACAGAACAGTTCAATCAGACGTAGTAAAGCCAGTAGATAAGGTTGAACAGGGAAAAAACAGAGGGAAAGATGATGCGTGACCAACGGTCGATGGCGTTCACATCCGTCAGGTCAGGGATTTTGATCTTGAGCTGTGAGGACCGTCTCCGTAGGCGGCTGCGCTTCATCTGGGCAGACCGGTCCAGGGAATGGCGGCTGGCGGAACGTGGCCCTATCCCGCCACTCTGCTTGCGGTACTGGATGTGCGACGAGGCCGTGCTGTCCAACTGGACCATGGATTGAGAGTTCCTAATGTCCGCCACACTGGTGGTGATTTCSCCCCCTGCCACTTCATTGTGGATCTCCAGGGTGGTCAGCAGGATGTTCCCGTGGCCATGCGGTTCCGCCTGAATATATGAAAAATAAGTAAACATGGTATGATCGAACCCTAGCAAATGTAGGACTAGAAAAATTGTGTATGCCAAAACAAATGTATTTTCCATTATAGTTCTCCATGGTTAGATGACTAGCTAAGTGCTCTACGTTTTAGAGCAGCTGTGAAATTAAACCAAAAGTGTTAGTAAAGATGTGAAAAAATTATTTTTATTGATGCAAAGAAATACTCTAGAGGCAGAAATCTGCAATGGAACCAAAGTGCAGAATTATCACTGTTAAAGTTAATCAGGGCAACCGGCAGCGTCCCATTTCCATTAATCTGCTAACAGCTGATTCTAAAGCTAACTTTTTGTTTAGCGGATTAGCATTTTCGCTAACTTTGTAAACCTTTAGCGGACCAATTAGCTTCTGCTAAATTGAGTTCTGCTAACTTTAAATCAGCTAATAAAAAGAACTAATCCCTTTTACATGCTGCGCTGCACACCTGTGTCTTGTGCCCAGTGTGTCTAGCATCTTAACATTTTGTGTGTCTACCTTTTTTCATTTGGATGGAGGCGAAGACGTGTGACACAGATTGAGAGACAGTTGTCATTGTCCACTCAAATCCTTTTAATATAATCAGAAAGGGTGATTGGGGAAAGTGAATGGGGAAAATGCCCACAGCATACTTTATTTACTTATTGTGTTTACTGTGTGTTCAGGTTTACTTGCCCCATATCAGGAAACTGACTCATGTTGAGTCCACACTGTTTTCAGTGATTTCAATGTTTTTCTAGCAAGTTCGCTAACTCGCAGATTTAGTGGAAGTCTGCCAAAGGACATATAGGATATAGGTTAATTAGTTCTGATTCAGTACAAAGATTTGAATCATTACTCAGGGTGTGCCAGTAACCAACTATCTCTGTCTGCAACAGATCCAAATAACCAGCCACCAGAGCAAACTACCATTAGCTTATAGGTTCATCTAACATGTCCACATGAAAACACGTGACTTTCTCATGTACTCCAGAATCTTGGTTGGTTGATAGCAATGGTGAGCATAGTCCCCCTAAAACACTAAAGCACTAAAGCATTAATAGGGGAACTAATTTCCTGATTAGTGCTTTAGGGCTTTTGCTAATTTAAAAATGTATTTGTGGATTAGCACTTGCTAAATTTATGGGCTAAATTTAGAAGCACTAACTGAGGTCTTTAAATGTTATTGATCAACATTAATTTTAACAACTGAGGGTGAAAGCTGCACATGTGTCACTGATCCACCAGGTGACAATTTATGAACCCAAATACAGCTGTGGAATGTCAATGATAAAGAGAGCAACATGGCAACATGTGACTCACGTTGAAGAATGTTCATGKGTTGACTGGGTTATTTTAGTGCTTTAGAATTAGTTTTGCTAAAACTTTTAGTGTGTTAGTTCTTTAGAAATAGGGGACCTAAAGATCTGAGTTAGAGCTTTAGGGCTAGTGGAACTCATTTTTAGATTAGTGCTGCCCACCACTGGTTGATTTAGTTTGATTTGTCTGTTTGCTAATGATGACAAAAAGTCCTAGGGAGGTCGGGGCATGGTGAAGAAGATGGGGTGGTTGAGTGATGATTTATCAGCTCTAATGTCTCTAATGACCAGTAAATTGGACACATGTGAACAAGTTCTGACATTTATTAAATTATTATACGCCACGACCTTCATGGGGACAGGCAGTTCCACTGAGATGATGGGGTGCCCGCCCTCAGGACCACTCCAACACCCCCAGGATTACCGGCTATGGTTGGAAGTATGTAAAATATCTGAACTATATAGAAAGTCAGTGGTTTGCATGCTTTCCGCTTCAAAGTTTTGCATTGGGTGCTGGTGCCACCTCCTCTTCTTGATGATGATTTCAAATTTAAGGTTTAATAATACTGGGACGGGGTTTTAACAGTGATGTTACCCCAGAACAGGCTCTGAACCCCAATCTTGATCCCAAAAACGCAAACGCTAATTATAAACTTCATTTGGGAGGTTGCTTCTTCTCCAGCATCATGATGGCAACTATGACACATCCACTTTTAGGGCTAATTTTAATTACCTTTATTCAAGTAGTTTTCAGACAGTTCAGAACTGTAGTAATCTGATTAAAAGCAAGAGATGCAGGACTGCACATCAGAATCCATGCTTATGATGACTGTGCCACAAAACAGCTCGACAGAAATAAAAAAGAAACAAATTCATTCCTTCATGCAAATGTAGCAACTGGTGAAGTCCCATTTTAGTTTCTTTAAGTTAGATTTGATTATGGTAATGTATTTTTTTGTTTACTTAAAAAATCTCATGGCAAGGTGTTTACAAGCATTTCAATGCCACATTAAAAAATAGCATTTTATATCTTTATTATCATATTCTAGTTGCACAAACAGGTAATTTAGTCATTTTGTATACCAGCTTAATTATTCTGTTGCTCTTATACAATTTTATCCCTCCTGCTGTCCTTGGGTCAAAATGTCCCACAATGCCTCAGTCAACCCAAAGACAGCAGGAGGATTAATGCATTTGTAAAACCATAATGTTTACTTAAATAAAAAAGAAAACCATTAAAAAATGACTGACTTGTTTATTTTTTACTGTATTCAATAGGATTGAAATTCTGTATTTGAAATTAAATATTTTTACAGCGTATTGACTTTTAAAGATATGACTACATCATCTTGTTGCTATAATTTCAAGATTTCTGTTTTAAAACATTTTAAAGAACAAGGAATTTAACACATTCAAAACATGGCAGCCAAGATAAAAAAATAAATGACAATAAAGACTGCACACAAAAAAGAAGAGAAACAACAAACAGATTTGCTTTGTTGAAATATTGCGTGAACTTTGTGTTTATCCTCATTTCTAAAAAATATATGTATCACTCGAGTCAAACCATGCAAAATAGTATGAATGGGAGGGTGCCCAACAGTTTTTATTGACTTCATAAGTAATTATGTGATTAAAAACTTCGTCAGTGTCTGATTTCTTTAAATTTTCTAAATATTGGATATGCTGCCATGTTTGACAGCGATAATCCTTTAAATCCCATAAAGATGTGTTTGGTTATTTTTCCAACTACAGATGTTTTTACAGTGTTGTTGACAAAATACGTGTATCAAACCTTYCAAAATGAACTGAGAAAGAATAAATAGAAAGCAGCGGTGAGGACCAATATCAACTACAACAACAAAACAAAACAAAACAAAAAAAAGCAATGGGTGGTTGGAGTCCAGAGAATTCAGAACCCCTCCTGGGTAATACCTATCCAATGTCTACTGGTCTTCAGACTAAATCCATAAACCTAAAATGTAATGTCCATCAAGGGCTTGGAAGCCAACAACCAGACAACAACGTTTGGTTGTTGTGCAGATCTTCTCTTGAGAATCTCCCAAATATTGTGAACTATTTAATCTTCATGCCAAGTTCCTACACTTTAGACAACCCTAAGTCTTTCAAGAGCTTGATGGTAGGAATATGGCTCCAGTTCTTCTCTCAGGGATTGCCTACACAAATACTGTGACCTATTTAACCTTGACTCCAAGTCCCTCAGATGACCTGAAGTCTTTCAAAAGCCTGAATATCTCCTACAAGACAATCATATGGAGTGTAGATCTAGATCTACCTGGGGATCACTTACACAAATATCAAGAACATTTTGATTGTCACACCAAAACCATTTTGGGTTTTTTCTTTTCTTATTTAGCATAAACACAGTATATTAAAGTTCGTAATTTAACTTGTCCAACTTATTGATAAAGTTTGGCTCCTCTTTTCTGCAAGCTTCAGACATTTTTCATCTTGATTTTGGATAACTTTTGGTGGTTTGTGTTTGTTGAACAACCAACTGCCAGTAGAGTACTCAAAATGTTGCTTTATTGCATCTTCTAAACCCCTAAAATGGCCAAAATAAGAGAGAAAAAACAATGTTGTGGAGATAGTTGTGCTTGTTCCCGGAACTGTTTATGGAGGGGGGACCTCTGCAGTGACTACCCGCTGGAAGTCAAACTGATTCATGCGCCATGAAAGAAATGACTTCACTGATGAGTTCAATGAAAATGGCTATACAAACAGCATGCATTAAGAATGAGCTCCAAGAAGATCACCATTTCTCACAATGTAAGCATGAGAATCTATTTTATCCACATAATGTCATGGAGATGTCTGTTGTTGCATAGTTCCTGACATGGATAGAGAGATTTTTTTTGCATCAAGGCAAAAAAAGAAGATACAAATTAACCACATCCATGTCGGCTGATGGGCGATGGGAGAGTTGGCTTGAGGATTTTTAAGAGACTCTCGGAAACAACTCACCGAACGTGAGTGGCGAAGACCTTTAACCTGATTGGACCGCTTTAGGGACGCGGTCCTACTACCTGCCTCCTGAGAAGATGAAAATATTCAGCCACATCTGTAGGACATAATCCTGAAAATTGATCTGTGAGTTGTCTGTTCTATAACAATGAAGCAAAGAAAATACTATTGCTTTCCATCAATGCTTTCACGTTTTTTTGCTAACAGTATTCATACCCACTGATGACAGAGGTGTGGTAGTCTAAGTCAGACGTACCCTTGCTGCGTCGTACTTGGCCGCTCTCTCGTTGTTGGCCTTCTCTGCCTTTTCTGCCAACTTCTTTTGCATCTGAGGGCCCCTTCCGAAGAAGATGTAGTTGACAAAGGCGTATTCGAGAAGGGCCAGGAAGACCATGACAAAGCAGCCCATCAGATACATGTCGATGGCCTTGACATATGGGATCTTGGGTAGCGTCTCTCTCAAGTGAGTGTTGATGGTGGTCATGGTCAGCACAGTGGTGATCCCTAAGGTCACAGGAAAAAGACTGTATTTTTTGGCAAATAATGTTTTTTTTAATCTACAAGGTGAGTCAAATGTCTAGCCCATCTTTTAGGCTATGTCTTAAAAACTGCCCTTTTCAATTAGGGGTCAAATTTTTCCCCAATGGGTATGTGGCCATTTAGTATATCAAAGAAGACCAGAATTGTCTTAGAAATTGATTGCCACAATCAGATTTGTAATATCTCTTGTGATTCAAAAGATAGCAACACAGAAAGTTGCAACAACAACCAGGAACTTGCCCGTTATTTGATGTGTTTAATGTGCTATCTCTGGTGCAACAACGTTCCTCAATTGTAGTTGACAGTTGCTGATGCAACTTTCAATTTCTGAGACAATTCTGGTTTTCTTTGACATGCAAAATGACCATCGGTTTAGCATTAGTGAAGCTATAGTTTTAGTTAGTGGMTTGTGAGTTAGCAAAGCTAATGATTTGGTTAGCTGTGCCCAACACTGCTGCCTGGGGTATGCAAATATTTAATTTTACATTTTGATAATGAAATAAAAGGATGTCTTCAGGCTTTTGGCTCACCCTGTACTAAGTTTAGACCATATAGTAGAGTAATGAACAGTTTGCTTAATAGCTAATGTAAATAGTCAAAATACAGTGCATTTCATTGTTCAAAGTAGATTGGTCACTTTCACCTGAATTCAAAAGTCACTATAAGAAATAAATCCCAAAATGACTGTTGCTATAGAAACATGGATTTTTTTTTCAAAGAGAAAGTATTTGTTTCTGCTGTTAGTGACGAACTGAATTGACCCAGTGGAGAGAAAAAAATAATTATACTGCTCTGTGATTGCCTTTCTGAAGTGCTGCAGAAACAGAGAAGAGTGAGGAACAAAAGCAAATAATGGCAAATCCTCCTCTTTTTTTCAATTTGAGCACTCGTAAAACAATTTGCTGATTTCTTTCATGTTCAATCTTGTTTGATTCACATAAGAACTATGGATGTGGACACTTAACCTCTGCTTTACTGAAATTCTAAGGTCTGTCTCTAAAAACACCGCTCCTTGTCACCTAGCAGTCAGAAATTATTTACATAGAGGAGGACGGTTCAAACTCCCAGATCTTGCTCACCTGATTTAAAAATCATAATCACATTAATAATACCAGTTATAGTTCTAAAATATCACCACCACCTAACATGTTGGTTAGCTGTGCCAACCACTGAAATTAGACAGACTGATAAACACAGATAAGAGCTGCCAWGGTGAAGTCATACTGTATCTCCCAACTAAAGACCGTGAAAAAGTGATTCAAGCTTTTATTACCTCTGGGTTGGATTACTCTAACACTTTTATGCTGGTTTAGATAAATCATCACTGCATTGCCTACAAGTTATCTAGAATGAAACAACTCGTCTTTTAACAGGTACAAAACAACATAAGCATGTCTCCGGTTCGGTCTTACGGTTTGCTTTCGGACAGACTTTAAGATTTTACTGCTTACTTTTAAAGTTTTAAAAGGTCAGACCCCATCATAGTTAGAGCACTTTGGCCATCCAACCAGTTTCTCTTAGATGTTCCTGGATCAAAAGCCCGATCAGAGGTGATCGGACTTTTGCAATTTCTGCCCCGAACCTGTGTTTGCCTTTTCGTAAATGGACTGCTGAGACTTTAAATCTATTCTCAAGACCCATCTTTACTGCTTGGCTTTTGATTCTGACAGAGTTTGAGATTATTTAGAGCTGATGTTTTTACAGTGTATTTCTGTATTTATATTAATTTTACTTCTTTTGAACATTTCTGTGTTTCTTTCTTGTTTCATTCATTCATTTAGCTAAATTGTGAAGCACCTTGGTCAACATTTGTTGTTTTTATGAGCTATTTAAGTAATTTGACATTAACACTGACTTTCCCTTTCAGGTCGGGGACAATAGAGGTGCAACACTATGCACAACTTAGAGGATAATATAGTCAAGACAACTTGACTCAGCTTGTTTCCAGTTAGTTTGCTCCAATATCCAGGGTGCATTCGATTGCATTTACCAGCTTGCTCACATTCACACAAACCCTGACCTTCTGCAACGCCATAAAACAGCATCTTGTCCCATTACATGTAAGAGGCAAAACATTTCTCTGCTAGTTAATTTTCTTAAGCTGATTATAAATGGACCCTTGTATAACAGACTTGGCATTTGGTGTATGAGTGTCGTAAACTAAAGTGAAGAGACAAGGAACGGTCGCGGGCGGATGAGAGGAGGGAGCCGGATTGCTAAGGTCGATCTAGCCCTTCCTTTGATTTATTGGCACATTACAAGGTTAGTGCCATGTGCGAACGAAGACCCGTGCACATGCTTCCTGTCTCAGATGCTCTTTTTTTTGTACTTAACAACAGCTTTGTTCTTTATAGTTGTTCTCTCAGCTGTGCCATTATTCTCCCTCCTTTCCTCCTTCTCTCCTCGTTCGGACAATTTAATCAAGGGTCCAGGCGCCCATCGGCCTCCCGTGCTTTTTCATCACGCCTTTGTTCTCTCTCCAGGGAGAAATACAGTTTCTCAGAGTTTCTCTTACTTTCTGTCTTCCTCTCATTGTTCTCCGTGGCTTTTCCCTTCCCTCCTMCCTTTTCATTCACCCACCAGGTCTCAATCATGCCACCCCACTTTCTGTCCCCTTACGCAGTCTACTTCTTTCTTAAGTCTCTCCTCCGCCATAACGGTTCAACCAAAAGGGGCACTCTGCAATCAAATCTCCAACTAATCGCAGGCCCGACATGCGCAATTTAGCGATGCACCTCAACAAGGTGGAAGGTGTTGTGTCAGACRGAAATGAACAATAACTGCTTTAGTTTATCAGTCACAGACAGTACACTTAGTATGAGTCTGCAGCTGAGGATAAAAAAAGGTTTTAAAAGTCAGGACGATCATATTGGGATCTCCCGTTACACTAAATGTACTCCCGCGTTCCCGACTAGCACCCACACCTCAACTGCTCATCTAATCTGATTATGAACGAGGGGCACGACTCTAGGAAATGGGCTCCAACTAGATTAGGGAAGCGAGTGGGTAATTTGTAACCTTTGCAATCCTTCAGAACAGCTCAGGGTGGAGGAGGAAAAATGAGATCCTCCTTCAAACAATTCAATTGTTTGCCTGCTGCCTCCTTGAATTGATTCCCCACCGATCGTTAAGTCCGCTCTTACCACCGGGTTGGCACACTTTCCCTTTTTTTATGATTGAGCTACCTGCGGAATCTCACCGTAAGAGAAATGAGCGGACCCCAGTGGTCGAGGCCCCATGCTGCCGGATATTGCAGCCATCCATTTGCTCGCAAACACACACACAAATCAGACAGTAATGACCGGATGTTGCACGCATGCCTTTAACGAATGTGAGAAAGAGACGGATAAAGGAATGCGAATAGACTCTCAAGTAACAAGCACATGCCGAGGCAGAGAGATGGATGCTGCAGTAAGCATAATGGATAAAGAGCATGTTTTCCTAAAAGCATTATGAYGTGTTAAGGTCATTATCGGTCCATTATCCAGCCATACACAGATGACTGAAGAGCCAAAGTGGCAATCAGTTAGCGTGGCCAGATTGAGCTGTTTGGCCCTGGAGGCCAAGCTTTACAGCAGGACCCGCAGCAGAACCTCCCATCTCCGGACCCGTCAACCTCAACTTACATAACACCGCACAGAAAACCACGCAGCGACGTGGAGCTGCAGCTCATCATTTGATACCAATCTGGGCTCTGGTTTCCTAAACGTGACAAGGTATTTATGCAGATATCYGAATTCAGCAACAGCAGATAACCTACAGTGGTGGGCATGGTTCAGCTAATTAGCTTACAGCTAATAATGAAACAATTTTCTTGTTTAGCGGATTAGCTTTAATTCRTTTTGAAACCTGGTAGTGGACCAATTAGCTTCCAATAAATAAGGTTTTGTCAACAGTGAATCTGCTGACAGCTGACAAGCAAGCTAGAATCAATAGGTTTGTGTCAGTCCCATCAGTCTTCAGCTCGAAGGAGACAAAGACGTGTGACGCAGACGGAGTGACAGTTGTCTTGGCTGTTAGCAATTAGCTGTTTGTGTTAGCTTTCTCTAATTTATACTTGTTTGGTTAGTTAGCATTATATTTTTTTAACATATTTAGTGGTTTAGCATTAGCAACGCTACATTTTAAGTTAGTGGATCATGAGTCAGCAAAACTAACTTTTTGGTTAGATGTGTCCACCATTTGTGGAATTTAATGTTTCTCAAACAGAATTGTTTGCAGGTGCAAGGTGCACCTTGACCACAAGATTGTGGTCTAAATCTGGTTGGATATTTGACYACTATTCTTGGCAGGATTGATAGAGTTTATTAAATTCATAGTTTTTTAAGCCTAGCTCTTAAAGAATTAGTCTGCTATTATTATTATCTTATCAGTAGTGACAAAAGGGCCTGCAGGATGGAAAATGAAGCAAAAGTCTTTGTTTAGGCTAAAGGTTAGYAAATCAAGGGCCTGAGTTTTATCATTTTGTCAAGGTTGTAATACAACTCTGTCCCACCACTCAGTTTCACCATGATATTTTCAAAATGACCCACAAGGCCTCAGCGTTAAGACTGAGGCATCAGATTTTGACCCAAGGACAGTATGAGGGTTAAAACAATGCACTGGTYGTGTATGGTAGAAGATACTAAAACTAATACTTATATATAAAATTGTTTATTAGTCTCTAAACAACAGCACATTGTGCAATATTTTAATTAAGTTACACCAGAGCACTCRGAACCCAACACTGTTATGTCCTCTTGAGAAACTACAGTCTGTTTACCATGACAGCCTTCATGTTGCCTTTATTACTCCTGGCTTACAGCACATTGAGTCATTACACAGACAAACCACATCGCAGCCTCCTTTATGAATCTCAACGAGTGCAAACCAGCAAACATTTACTTGGGTAATGTTTTATTGCTAACAGTGGCCCCGTGGTGGCTGGTCACAAAAACAAACATTTTTTAATAATATGCTCATTAGAGACTGAGTGTAATTATGGCTYCTGTGGCAGAGGGACACCAGACAAGACCTAATCTTTTCTAAAAGTTTTTTTAAACATCTCCAGTTATAATATTAGCTCTGTTGCTAAGAAGGAAATGCTTTCAGCTCAGTATTAATTCATTGAGAGAGATGCCCCAAATGATTGTAAAATCAACTAATTGTATTGTTTCCCAAAGTGGGTGTACTGTTTAGGTATGACATTTAATTCTGCGGTGGGACCACCCACCAATCACAGGCTAGCAGATATGGGGACTCGTGACTCGGACTTGGACTTGAGTCCCACTTAAGTTCCTACTATTAGAGACTTGGGCTTGACTTGGACTTGGACTGTAAAGACTTGAGACTTGACTTGGAATGGTGGTTTGAGACTCGTGAACAATGCAAGTCTTTTCACTGCCCGGCTAACGATTCTCACTYYCTCAATACACATCCATGCTCCGCTCCTYTGAGAACAAATACATAAAGTTTTAAGAGAAAAGACATTTACTCCTGCTGTCTTGAAAATATACGCTGTTGATTAAAGTCTGAATAATTCTTCCATACACTCCGCTCCCCCTCACCTGAGAATGGGAGGGGCCAACGCCGTCCATTGTTAATGTCGTGTGATAAACAGAGCTTCAGCATGGCAGGTGTGTTGCAGTATACAGCTACGCTGCCATTCATTATAAGCTCTGCTTACAGAGACTTTATTTAACACCATGACAAGAGACTGGCTAAATGCAAAGGGTCTGGAGTCCAAATCCAGAATTTGTTGTTGTGATGACTTGTACAGCCCTTTTACTTTAAGGATTYTGGTTCATCATCTTCACTGACCTGCTTTTATGCATTTAAAAATATTTTCTCTGGTATTTTATTGTAAAATCAGCAGCAGACTTGTTGGATTTGTTTTTTGTCAATGGCAAGATTTAATTACAGTATGCTTTTGTAAGACTACAAGTGCAAAATATAGTTAACAATACTCTAAATGCCTGATTGTTGTTATTTCTGTATTTTTAAAAAAATATTGTGTTTTAATGGTATTATTAAAACATAATACTATGTTTTAATATTTTATTAAAATATAGTATTATAGAATATAATCTAGTGTAGTTAAAATACCTTTGATCAAACTGCCAGTTAAGTAAAACATGCAACTAGACTTGGACTTGAGGTCAAGAGACTTGAGACTTGACTTGGACTTGCAAAAAAAGACTTGCGCAGATCTCTCCATCCATCCATCCATCCATCCATCCATCCATCCATCCATCCATCCATCCATCCATCCATCCATCCATCCATTCTCACAGCTCCCATTGGACTTGCCTAGAACACCTCCCTAGGGAGATGTCATGTAGGGCATCCCTACCAGATACCTGCATCACCTAAACTGGCTCCTTTTGAGAGGAACATCATTATAAATGTGTCCCATTGAAGTTTGCTGACGAGCTGAAAGTCTGCAGTTGCACTTTTATTAAAAAGTCAGAATCAACTGATATAAAAGACACACAGAAAAAGGGTTTTGGTGCAGAAAACCAAGGGTTTAAAGAGCTGTAGCTGTTACACACAGTTCCATCTCAACAGGTTCAACTAAAGTTACAATTACTTGCATCATTAGCTTCTTTATTTTGGCCCAAAGGCATCTTTTGGCAAAACAGAGTTTCTGATGCACAAAGTTTATGGAAGTTACAATCTGAATTTGACTCCATCTCAAGCAGTTTTGGGGCCTGCTGAACAGTTGAGGGCCTGGTAGGATTGTTTCTGAACAACAACGAATTCTTGCAATTTAGGTCAAGAAGGTCAAGGATCAGCAACTAYGGGCACCAGAAGTAGAGGGATTGATCAATCTGATGATTTCTAGGCTGATTTTGTCATTGTAAAGACATTTTTCAGCCACACCTGAGCATATTTATCGGAAAAAAGTAATTTCCCCATCACTTAGGCCAGTGGTTCTCAGTTCTGGTCCTCAAGGACCCTTACCCTGCATGTTTTCGTTGTTTCCCTGCTTTGACACACTTGATTTAAATCAGTGAGTGATTGGCAGGCTTCAGCCGAACTTATGACTTACTGCAGAGCAGGGAAACAACTAAAACATGCCGGATTGGGGTCCTTGAGGACCAGGACTGAGAACCACTGATCCAAAGCTTTTCCAACAATAGGTGCTGCCTTTCACAACAAAGGTGCTTTTTTATCTATAACAGCAAATTCAAAAGGAAGTTGATTATGGTATTGAGCTAAAAACAATTGGTAAGCCTTTCAATGGTATCTTTTAGAGCCATTTATATAGTATTTAATTATCTTTTTAGAATATGTTACTTTTAGAAAAAAACTGGCTTCATAAATTGGACTTTGGTTTCACTGATTTCCAAAAGATGGGCATTTGTAACCAGTCATGGACAAAATAGTAATTGGTCAGCATCTAAGACCATGAGACACCTGATCCCATTTCTTACCCAAAGCCACCCTGGCTGCTGAGGCGTCGTAGTTTATCCAGAAGGATACCCAGGAGAGGATGGTAATCAGGATGGACGGCATGTACGTCTGCAGGATGAAGTAGCCGATGTTCCTCTTCAGCTTGAAGCTCAGAGACAGCCGAGGGTAGGCACCTGAGTGGAGTAGAGTCAAAGAAGTAAAGCATCTGAAGCCTTCAAAGCCAGAAAACAAAATCTAAAGCTGGAAGCCTGAGGGGGTTTTCAGTGCATCAAATATTTAGAGCTAATCAAGAAAACAACTTCAAAATAAGAACTTTACCATTAAAATAAATAAATAACCCCCGCCCCCCCCCTGCCAGGAGCGAGTACCTTGTGTTTTTGTTTCAGTTTCCATGACAACCCCAGCAGCATGGGCTGGATTAGTTGCCACGGTAACAAGTATCCCCTTCACTCTTCTCCACACACACAAAACTGCAACCCTGTTTCTTTTTGATGTGTCAAAATATTAAGGTGTTTTAAAAAAAAACTCCACCACGTTCTGACTTATCAACTCCCTGCTTCAATGCTAAATCAGTACCAGAATGCCATTTTTAGAAACACAGGTAGAAAAAAAAACACCTTTGATGCTTTGTGTGTCAGATTTCAGGATGAGAGAAGCTTCTGCTGTTATCCGTCCCTGAACTGGAGTACACACGTCATCCGTCTCATAGCGTATCTCTCACTGGACCCGGCGTGTATGACTTATTACTCCCACTATTCTTCCTCGTTTTGATTTCAAATTGAAGGAGAAGTGGGACTCATTATGGTGTAATTTCTACTCTGAGGGTTTCAGCCAAAGCTGCTTGCGGTGAGCGTGGGTCCAAACCGATGGCGCACTTCTATGATTGGCTGGACAGAGAGAAAAATGTCTCTTTAGTGTCTCATTAAAATTCCTTCTCTTTTTTAATAAAGTGCATTCTTCAGACATCAAATAAGTCAGCTATTTGTTTACATTAAAATGATTCTGATCAACCTATGTGAACTTCAACCTCTATGTTTAGATCTGTGCCTCTTGGCACAAGCATAAATGTTCATAACATGTTAGCAAAGTGTCAAGGGGCATTTTCGACTTGTAGAAAGGTGGATAGCTCGGTTTTCGATATATAGAGTTTAATTCTGACAAAACGGATGACCCAGAACTTGTTGAAGGGATTACAAAAGGTGAGTTAAAAGACTCAATACACTCTTTTATTTCAGGAATCAAAGGGGAAAATGTAATATCTGAATACGCCAGCAAGTACTGGGTGATGGGTTTATCTTTTAGGCTATGTCCAGAACATGGCTGCCATCTTGAAAGCTGCCATATTGGATCACGGGCAAATTTTTCCAATGGGAAGGTGGTCATGTGGCATATCAAACAAGACCAGAATTGTCTTAGAAATGGATTGCCACAATCAGATTTGCAATATCTCTTGTGGTTCAAATAATATCAACRTAGAAATTTCAAAACTTTTGTTGTTCATCACAGAAGCATCTGTGTTCAGCATCATAAAGCATAATAAATAGCAGAGGTGGGCACAGCTAACCAAAAAGTGCACTTCGCTAACTCATAATCTGCTAGCTCTGCTAACATTAAACATGTAAAAAATAAATAAGTAAATAAATTAGGATATGCTAATGCTAAACAGCTAAAGACGTAAAAAAATTTGGGGAAGCTAACGTTAATTAGCTTTTGCAAGCTAGTCAGCTCTCCCAGTTCTGATGGAACCTGTGATGCCCAGGCAGGCCATTCGTTGCACGTGGGTGAGCATCACTCTTGCCACCCCAACTTGGACTTGAACCCACCACACTAAAGCAGCATAGTATAGCATTGGACGGAGTATGACCATATAGAGCCATCTGATAACCTGTGTGGTAGCACCCCAACAACTACCTGCAATTCTACAGCACTGGTGTAGGCACATTGCTGCCTTCTTGCACTTCTCTTTTAAATGTCTTTTCCAGTTAAGCTTCCTGTCTAGAAAGACACCCAAGAAATTAACTGACTCTGACAGGGAGAGTTCCACACAGTCCACAGTCTGGTCTAGGTTTCTCTCCTGAAACTGTTACTTCCACAACTCGGCTATGAATAGAAGATGGGAATGAAGCTATGCTAACATAGAGCTACCCAATTTGAATTGTYATACTTAGAAGAAAGCAATCCATTTCGCTCCCATCAGACAAGCTGTTAGCCCATCAGGCAGATCAAAACTAACCTCTTTTTCTTCAAACCGAGGTCTTTCAAAGAGCCACAAACAGTACAACATATATTATTTGTTCATAACYACACAAGCCCTTTTCAAATTACTCCTTTTCTCTGTTGCTTTAATGCAGATTTGTTTCTACAGTTTTACAGAACCTATGAACATTATCAAACATGATTTGAACCTTTTTAGCTTACTAAAGGGACAAATGTTCATGTTATAATGCTTCCTGTATTTTATTTAAGGGATACACTGCAATGTTCATGAGTTTTACTGTGTACACAACAAAACATTTACCATATCTGTCACTGAATTTAAAGCTCACTGTCTAAAAATAGTCATAACTTCTTTTAGCTCATTGGTTGATCTTATTTTTAGCTCCTGGTTAACAGTTCTTGTATCTTTAAGCAAACTTAATACGTCATTAACACCTAAAAATAAAAACAGARCTTTAAAAAAAAACTAAACAACAAACTTATTCACTTCCTTTGCTCCTCCAGACTAATTCAGACCCAAGCGTCTCCACCACGGAGCGAACGTTGAAGAGACTTGAGAAAAAGAGGAGGCTGAGGTACGCCAGCGTGTAGGTGGAGAACCGCTATAACAGTTACACCAAACGACATCCGCGAGTGGGAGGAATGCCATGTGTGAAGCCGAGGAGAGGGAGGAAGAGGCGGGAAAATAAAAAAATAAATGAAAGGCCTGAATGCATATCGCCTGCCGTCATCAACACCCAAGATATTTACACTAAAAGAAATTATAGAATTGAATATCTGTAAAACTGACTGAGTTAAATTCATTTTTGTGTCGTTTGACAGTGCTGGTCATGTTGAATTAAATGGACTCTAAAAAAACCCACATAGCGAAACTTGTYTAGCCCAGTTCTGGCCCACACAATGCAGTGTCGGCCCAGATACTACAAAGAATGAGGATTGGTGGCCCAGATGTGGTTTGCCAGAGGTGGTTCATGCATGGGCCAGCACCACATAAACCAAATCACATCCAGGCCAGTTGTGGCATGCCACCTTAAAACAGTGCCATTATTGCCAAACCTGACCCACATCCGACTGACAAACCACTTGTCATGCCAGCAGGCAGCCAGAGGTCTTGTGGGTCACTTTGACCTAACGGCAGCAAGACGACTGAATATCTGGTGGTTGGGTTTTACCTTCCAGCTGCTCACATTGCCTTTATCGCATTTTATAAAAAAAACAAGCTTTAAAATATGTGTATGTTTAAGGCTGTTTAGCTGAATAACTGACTCCATCATACATAAACCAACATCTTGGTTGATGTTCCCCCCCCTTCCTGATAATCATAAATTTGCTGTTTGAATACCGATTAACCCTCCTGCTGCCCTTGGATCAAACTKACCCGCAAGGTCTCCATTTTATGGGGTACTTCTGACCCAAGGTCTCCACTTCAATTTAAGTTAAACGATTTATTTTCATCCAGTCTCTTGACATTTTTATTCAGAGGTGTACCAAGGGTTTTGAATGAGTTTCCAGTGTTGACATAATTTAAAATAAAAATAACCTTTTATGTTTGTTTTAGTGTCAGCTTTTTTCATGAAGCCTTTTGTTTTCTAAAACCAATTGCCTCGGAGGAAAATTCAAGGCCCGCAGTGTCAAATTATGCAAAACAAATCAAATATACTGTAGATGATTTTGAAGATTTAAGGCTTCTTGAATCACTGCCGTTTAAACAAAGATGATATCCGAACTGTTCTGTATTTTTATAGAAAAATAGTTAACGTCGGGAACTTCAACAAGCTCCCCAAAAAATATGCAACGCCCTGAATTCTGGCCTGTTTTTGGAGCATGATAAATGGAATYGTGGCTTGGCTTTTCTTATGAGCAGAAGGCAAAGTTGGGGGAAAGAATAAAGGCTGGTTTGTATCAGGTSTAATGCGGGAATCCTAATCATTAATCAGCCATGCAAAAATCATTGGATGTTTCTCAAACATTCTCTGTAAACCACCGGATGCAAACAAAGCAACGCAGGTGAAGGTCATTGCTCCAATTGGACAGAAATGACGGGGGCAGGACAGAGCACACACAGTGAGAAAGATGGTGCTGTTAAAGGGATCCACGATTAGTTGTAACATTAAACTTTATTTGATAAACATTTATTTTAACTGTAAAATAAAGACTGTAAAAATACTGTAGGCTGTTTAGTTTTGTAAATTTTTTAAAATATATTTTAACACGGACGGAGCCATTTTATTTACACGCAAAGCATTCTGGGTAAATGATGACATCAACTACTGTAGGTCATCAGTGCAAGGCTGGTAGCGAGCTATATCCACCCTGAAGGTTAATCTTGGACAATATCTGATGATCGGCTCTTTTAAATGAAACCAGAGAGCGTTGACAGAGAGGAGAAGGTAGAAATGACTCAGTCTGTAACTGAAAATATGAATGGAGGACAACAGAGCAGCTTGTTTGTCGCGCTAGCACCGAGCTAATACATATAAGGCAATATAGCGTCAGGGCTAACGCTAAAGCTAACAGGCTAAGTTGAGTTTCTTCTTCCATGAAGCAGCTCTGTTGTCCTCCATCTATATTTTCAGTTACAGGCTGAGTCATTTCTACCTTCTCCTCTCTGTCAACGCTCTCTGGTTTCATTTAAAAGACCCAGTCGTCAGATATTGTCCAAGATTAACCTTCTGGGTGGATATAGCTCGCTAGCAGCCTCACACTGATGACCTAGTTGATGTCATCAATTTCCCAGAATGATTTGCGTGTAAATAAAATGGCCCCRTACGTTTAATATATTTTTAAACTTTTAGTTTAAAAATGATAAAAACTGAACATCCTACAGTATTTTTACAGTCTTTATTTTACAGTTAAAGTTTTTGTTTATCATATAAAGTCTAATGTTACAACTAATCAGGGATCCCTTTAATAAAACTGACTATTGAGATTATAAAGAGCAGCTCTTTCAGTGGCAGTTTTGCGATGATATACTTATAATTTTGGGACAGCGCTGTTAAATGCATGCCACAGCCTTTAGGAGTTTTCTGACCCACAGTGGCTCATTGTTTGTAGCCCATTGTTAGCATTAGCAACACTGAAGGGCTAATGTTGCTTAGTCCAAAAAGGTGCATGTTTCCTGTAGTTGGTTTGGTTCGAGGCCGGTCTGTATTCACACCAGAAGTGAACCGCACCAGAGTTCGTTTGTAAGAGGACCGAGACCACATCAAAAATGGGTCTCAGTTCAGCTGTTTGTTGAACCGGGGTTCTCATGAGTGTATTCACACCTGCATAAAAGGTCCGGACCAACAGGAGAAACAAACTCTGGTCCGTTTAAAGCAGACCAGATGTGTCAGGTGTGAGTACACCCAACCATTTTAGCTTGGCTTAAGCTACTTAAGCAGCTTTCAGCAATAAGATGCAGTATCACAATGCATTTTTGCAGGTAATACAGTTTATTTTGTTTATTCAACATTTAAATATGACCAGCATTAMGTAGTTTAAGATTCCCAGACTGACTAGTTAGGATTCAACTGAAGTGCAAAGAGTTAATATAATTTATTTTAATAGTATTTCTTTGTGTTTGTTAAAACAGCATTTCAAGTCTGTGCCTATTTTGTAAGACTCTACCCAAACAATTGGGTGTGAAAGAGCTGGCCGGATTGTTTGGCGGTCACTTAGGAGGCATCAATAAAGTATCTGGGTGTAAATGAACACATAAAAACTAATTTAAGGCTTGTTCTGTGGTGCGGTATAAAATCAAAGTTTACTGCATGTCCAAAAACTCCCTGTGGGGAACGGGTGATGTTGAATTATTGCTCCGTGCTGCACAGAGGCATTAATTACAACATGAAATGTGATGCGGTGAGTGTTGGTTTTTTTTTTTTTTACTTGACAAACTGCCTGCTTATTTTCTAATTGCTTGCCCTGAAAGGAGCAAAGCTGAAGACAATATCTGTTGTGATGCTATAAATATTGCCTGACTGATGTGTTTTGCAACACCAGTTAATGATGACATGGACGTCTAAACATTTGTACAAAGTACATACCTCTTTTCTTTAGGACATGTAGTAAGGGTCCCCAAGTGGACCCTTACTRCATGTCATGAATGTAAAATGTGTTTATACATACAGTATATCTCCTGGCAGAAAATAAAATATAATTATTTTGTATTCAGTCTCCCTGAGTTCTCTGTTCACCTCTCATGCTATTCGTTTATTGACATCACTGCTGAGATCCTGACAGGCTTTAGTGGGGCCAGTAGTTATTGAAGGACTTGGTGCTGTGACGCCAAACAGATCCCAGGAACAACCTCAGAGGCCTCTGTCCAGAAGAGCACAGTCCTAGGAGCAGCTGTGACACTGAACACAACCCTTAACTCCCAGGCCTCATTTTCAGTAGCATTGTTTTTCCAATGAGAATATTACCCCGCTCATTTAATTTACTTGGTAAAATTTAGATTTTTATTTTTAACCAATAAACTTGGTAAAAGTGTATGGAATTACTAATGCTTTGKTTTTACTTCTCCATATTCACCCAGAGCTGTGGGGAGTGATAAAACTGCTCCGCATTAACACTTTACCACTATCTGTCGTTGCTTTATAGCAGGGGTCTTCAASGTTTTTCTGTCTGGGACCCTCAAACTGACGGAGAGATGAAACAAGGACCCCCTATATGTGTATTATGTTGTGCTTTATATTAAACTACACTTAGTTCTACATCAAACATGCCTTTATACTGTGCATTTGATACTGAGACATAATTTTGAAATACAAAAAAAATGTATGATTAAGCAAAAATCTCACAACCTGAAGGCAACCTWTTGTACATATTTTTGTGCTGTGGGATTAAAGTGTTACATATGCTTGAAGAAAAGTTCAGCAATTTACTATTAATCCATCCATCAACTACCTGATGTGGAAATAATCGGCTCCTTGCTTGCTGCTCTTATTTGGTTGCTATTTGGTTGCCAGTGCCATTTCAGAACGCTTGAATCAACTAAAGGTACATGTAGGATACATCCTCATTTTGACCCAATTGGAAGTACTGTCAAATCCAATGGGGGTTTGAAAAAAAAAGGCTACAGATCATCAGGTGCAGTATTATTTGAAATAAACAACCATTGCAGTAGGACATTTACCCGTGGAAAAAACAACATTCTTGGAAACCAGTTTGTAGTCAACGATGGAGAACTGTGGCAGCTCGATCCTCGTCACCCCTGTCACGGCAGCCTCGCCTCCCTTCCAGTAGAACTCGATGTCATCTGTGGTGTAGCCATCTGCAAAAGAAGAAGAAGAAGAAACAAAAACACCAAGGTGTAACCATCTGTCAAAAAAMCATCACTGGAGACCAAGATATGCAGCGCTGCTCATAGTCCAACTGGGCTGGGAAGACGGTGAAAAAAAAACACGTTTGAAGTTGCTCCCAAAGCCAGACGTTGCTTTGAAAAGCGAGACATTTAACAGGTTTGCTTCTCTTCAGGAAGGTTCCTTTAAWTCTGGGATCTTATACTTTAYWAACTGCATACATAAGCATCTAATACATGCGCTATTACTACACACTTTTTACCTTTGTGCATAACTCACAATTATAAGCTTTGTTTTCCTGATACCATTTAGYTGGCGTGGTTAATAATCACCCTATTAGAGGTTAACACAGTAATAAGCAGAGCTCATGATAATATTCTGTGCAATTACTCCATGTGGAAGTGTTTTAAGGTGAACATTTAAAATTAAAGCTACAAATCAATTTTTTTTATTAGGTGACTTTCTGCAACACAATCAAGGTAATATACAGTATAGAACTAACTAAAACCAACACTCAACTGTACAAGTCTAAATATCCAGTTTTCTTTACCAGTAGATCAAACAGTTACAGTGGGGTGTGAAAGTTTGGGCAGACTTGTTAATTTTCCTGATTTACCTTTATAAGTCATTGATTGTTTGAATTTAAAAAAATCAATTAAATATATCATTTAGGGGACAAACACAATGATATTTGAGAAGTGAAATAAAGTTTATGGGATTTACAGAAAGTGTGCAATAAGCTGCATAAATTTGGGCACTGTTGTAATTTTATTGATTTCAAAACCTTTAGAACTAATTATTGGAACTCAAATTTGGTTTGGTAAGTTCAGTGACCCTTGACCTCCATACACAGGTGACTGCAGTTATGAGAAAGGGTATTTAAGGGGGGCAATTGCAAGTTTTTCTCCTCCTTGCATCTTTTTTGAAGAGTCACAGCATGGGAGTCTGAAAACAACTTTCAAATGAGCTGAAAACAAAGATTGTTCACCGTCATGGTTTAGGGGAAGGATACAGAAAGCTGTCTCAGAGATTTCAGCTTTCAGTCTCCACTGTGAGAAACATTGTAAGAAAATGGAGGACCACAGACACAGTTCAAGTCAAGGCTGGAAGTGGCAAGACCAAGAAAAATCTCCAATAAACAGAAGTGAAGGATGTTGAGAACAGTCAGAGTCGACCCACAGACCAGCACCAAAGACCTAGAATATCACTGTGTGTTGGTTAAATTGTGATTTAAATGTATGAAATGTTAATGCTGTTGATCTGTGTTTATCTATTTTAATTGAATTCATGGCGTGTGGATGGGAATGTTGTGTGTAAAAACACAGATGTGAATGCTTATCTTTGTAACTTGTTATTTTAGCTTGTAGAGCAGAGTTATTTTATAACCCACTATTAGACAGTTGGGTTGGGGTAAAGGAACTGGAGTTCCTGGGAGCAAAAGGMGATTACATGGTCGTAAACAGGACGACAYTTTGAAGGGGACCCTTTAAAAACCTGACTGTTTGTACCTTGTCTGCATTTGGACTCCTTGCAAGTAAAAGAGAGCTTAGTAACCAGATCTGCTGCTTGCTCRTCATTCCTTTATGTCAAGTATCTTGATAATTAATTTTTCTAACACTGTGCATCGTTCAACTATTCAGCACACTTTACACAAGGAGATGCTGTATGGGAGAGTGATGAGAGGAAGCANCCCACAGACCAGCACAAAAGACCTAGAATATCACTGTGTGTTGGTTAAATTGTGATTTAAATGTATGAAATGTTAATGCTGTTGATCTGTGTTTATCTATTTTAATTGAATTCATGGCGTGTGGATGGGAATGT